TCTGACTGAGCTGGAGCTATTTTGCAAAGAAGAATGGGCAAGGATTTCAGTTGCTAATTAGTGTCCAGTAACAGAATAACATAATGCGTGTGTTTTCCATAGGACTGGAAGTCTTTACTCAACCACAGGGGTTGCCCTCTAGTGGCTGTTGTGCTCGTATGGGTTCCTGGCTTCCTCCCTATTCATGCTATTCATGCTTGGTTAAGTGGTGATTTCAAATGGGCTTGGATGTGATGTGGATAAATAGGTTAAAGTGTGTACATCAAAGCCCTAATGTGCTTTGAATGGCCGGTTAACTAAAAAAAGCATATACATGCCTTTTCCAGTTGTCTCTCTCTGATATAAAAACATGCTATATGAGCAAATTTTGGTTAGCGAGCGTAGCTGCATGTTGATGAAAGATCACATACTCACCTTAATATCCTTTTAATTGGTTTTAACGAGATTATTACTATTAATACAGAACTTTCCAGACCTCAGACACACAAATCCATTATCACTTTGACATCTTGTTGTTGAAGCATCCCCACGGCCCTCATCACTTGACTTATCTCCGTAATGAGGTCAGAAAAGTTGTTTCCATTTGCACGCGATTAGTGCAAACAGCAGGTCTTTGTGCCCAAGCACAGAAAAACAGTATGAAAAAGGGAAAAACCAAAAGGATGCACCAATCATCAGTTACAAAGGTCAGCATTTTTATGGTCAAACGAACAAGGCAAAACACATTATCTAAGCCTGCCACGTGGATATATGAGGTGTAACTCAGAGTAAGACAAGGGCGGGGAAAACGATCTGCCAACAAGTAGCCTATCTGCCAACTGGAAGAGATGCAGGCAAACTGACGGGACTTATCAACATGTCCGTGATGACTGATGACAAACCGTGACACGCAACATTTCCACGGCCTGGAAACAAACTGCACTCGACCTGCCTCAACAGAAAACCATTAACCAGACAGAGAAGTCAATGTCGCATGCAAGGTAAAGAGCGAGAAGACCACTTACCCAATGACTTCCGAACCCTGTCTGTCAGTCCTCGGGTGAACCGACCGAATCCAAAGTCGATGTCCTGACGATCCACATCTCAATACCTCCACAAGTCCTCCTGACTCCACAGCGGCATGTATTGACTTGTATTAGGAGGGTTAAATCAGCCCTGAATGATGGATGAATATGTGGAGTGAGTCGATCACATGTTCATTAGATGTGTGAAGGAACCTTTAAAAACCTGTCCAAAAGTGGTGAAATCTAATGAAGTTCAAGTACATTTTTGCTTCTTGCATTTTATTTTTTTTTCTATGCTTATTCATATTCCACTGCATTTATATGTTTGCTTACTTAATATACATTGAAGAAAAAAATTATTTCAAGGTATATTAATTGCTTTAGGGCTTAAGGACATATTTTCATACACATTAAAAAACTAAAAATCTGTATGTGGAAAATCTCATATCAAAAATGCGTGTTTGATATTTGATTCATAAAAATGTTAAAATGTGCCCGTTTTGCAAGTGGATTTAACACCACTAAATCTTAGAAGTAGCTTTTTTTTAACCTAAACTATTCATTTCAGTACACTGTACTTATTTAACTGCATAAAAAGCAAATTTGTTTGGGCACAGATTAGTAATTGTGACATTATTGTTTATGTCAGTTCCTCAAATTGGGACAAAATCCAGACTATATTTGAAGCGTTAGCTAACATTTCTTGTTTTAAAGTCAACATGACCAATGAAAAGTACAGAATTATGCATTTTCAGTACTTCTGGATTTGTGATTTCTCTAGTGTCCACTGAGCATGACTCCCATGTTAAAATGTCCAACTTTACAGATTAAAAAAAAAAAAAAAAAAATCATGCTAATAGCCTAGCAAGGAAAATGGTTTTAGAAGTACTAGCATTTCATTAGTCTGTTATTTGAGGCTAATTATCAGTCATTTCTGTGTTTCATCACTCTTACAATGTAACGGATGTAGCTAACTAAGCTTAATAGCATTAGTTGATAACTTATCACTTCACT